AAATAAGGGAATGACCAATAGTTGGTACTAATGATAAATGTGTGTTTTCAAAAAGAAAATTATTTCAAATTTAAGTATTAAAGTTTTTCTAGGATTTTTCAACTTTACAGTTGTTTCCACATTATTGCTGTCTTGTAATATACCAGCAGTTTTGAAAATACACAGTTATTCTTTCGTATTATAAAACACGGCTTACAAACTGATACCTTCATGACAATCCTCGATCATCATTCCTTTCTAAGAATTCTGTAAATTTATTTCTCCTTTACTTAGGATAAAGATATATATCTATATATACCATGTCCTAATAATTTATGTATATTTAAAGCCATATTTTCCAGTCTTTATTGTATAATACGGCACCAGTATTCCAGATATGAACTGGTAGAAGAATTTTTCCTAAAATGAAATTTTGATTACTATGACTGGGAGTAAGACTGAATATAAAATTTCATTTTAAGTTTTTTTCAAGTCAATAAAATACTCTTTCACTGTTTTCTCCCTTATCTGAGCTTTTAATACTCAGCATTTTTCTTGGGCTCTAGGAGTTCAATATTCTGTGGCAGATATTATGCGTGATTTCAGTTGTATCAGTCTTTATCTGAAAGATGAACATAACCTTTCAGGAAACACAACATCACAAGCTTATTAAACTAAGAAAAAGAACAGACCCTTGAATTCCATTCTGCTTCTTTTTAAATGAGTCTAAGAGCTGAGGAGATAGTGACCATAATTTTACCGTGAAAATATTTTTTTGTTGTTGTTGCTGTAAAGAGCACATGTGCTGCAAATACACCTCACAAGTGAACTGAAAATGCATCTGAGTTGCTGATGATCTTCAAATGCTGCTATATATTCCACAAGATTACTTGCATGTAATGAGCTTTTTGTTGTAGATGGAAAAGCACGGGAGGAAAATCTCTTTAAAAATATAGTGCTTTGTCTTCAATATTTGATTTCTCTCAGGGTGGCCAGTATTTTGACTTACTTATCCTGCTTACAAGCTGTTTGAAATGTGTTCTGCTATTCTAAATGGGTGATTAGTTTCTTTTGTCTCTGGCAGTAACATGATATAACTTAATGTTTAATGTCTGATGCATAAAGAGATAAAAATGTGGCTTCTTTAAAAATAGTTTTGGTTTACTTTTTAAGGAAGTATAACATCTCCTGCATCCATTAAAAAACAAAATTACGCAAAGCAGACCTTCATAGTAACCTTGTGCAGATGTAGTGCCTGCTGTTTGTTAGTTGCATTTAACATTCAGTTTCCAATATTTGTTATGTTGTCTATTGGAAGAAAATTGTGGGTGGTAAATATTGGCTTACAACTACTAAATTTAAAGACCAACCCAACCTTTAAGTGGAATGTCCACTGTGTCTGAAAACATTTCCTGTAAAACTTGAAAAAGAATATGCTTTACCATTAGGATAAACTATATTAAAACAGTTTAAAGATGCCTTCTCCTTTTGAGGGGAAAAGGGTGCTTTTTTTAATTGTGTAAAGCAATGTCTATGTATTTTGATATACCATTGTTTGAACTTCCATCTTTAGCTGGTAGATTATCAGTTACCTTTGATTTCAGTATGTTTGTGCAAGAGGTTGCTGAAAGGAGTTATTCTTATGTTACCCAAGGGGGGGGGGGAAAAACCACCTGTATATCAATGTTTGATTGATTGTGTGATGCTCAACGTATAAGAACATCTTTCACTGTCTAGATTCTATTTCTGTTCTTTATCGAAGATGAACACTCACCAAAAAAAAAAAAGGAAATATTACGATATTTTTAAAGGCTTAAAGTTCACCATAAATTCATATTTTAAGTTTTGGGCCACTAAACATTGGCTTAGGCAACATTCCAAAATCTGTCACCGCTAATGGTTTAGCATGTTTATTATCAGTATTTATATACTACTTATCCTGTACTAAACCAGTCCAAAACTAATACATCCAAAATAAAAAAAAAAGTAGAATTTTGGTGACTGTTGTTCTTCATAAAGTTCTGTCTGACACCTTCCCTCGTTTTCCAAAATTACACCTGTACATCAGGAATGTCAAAAGTAATATTACAAGTGTCTTTTTAGTGTGGCTTTAGTATGGCTTCATTTTAATATTGTACATACATTGTACCTTGTTTTATGGTAATAAGTAATAAAAATGTAGACTTCATATTTTGTACAGAATCGTCCTGTGTACAGAATAAAAAGTTCCTAGAAACAGCAAGAATAGGTAAGTGGCACAATTATTTTTCATTAGACAATATCTGTAACATTATGCGTTAGTGGAATGTTAAGTTCAAATGTACCTACATATTTTTTAACATTTTGTAATTCAATTTTTTTTGTTCTGGCATTGTTTCTGAAGAACTTCATACACCTGCCATTTAATATGCTTTTATCTAATTTTAAAACTTTAAAAAAAAATGGTGTATTATATGGACAAATAAAGAACATGTGAATTTTACTTGCTCATCATGAAACTAAATTAGCACAGGGTGTTTGGGGGGGTGTTCAGATATATTTTGCAGAATCAGCTGTACAAATTAAAATAATTTCATAAATTTCACAAAAGCAAAAATTATGGGAAGACCATTAGTGAAAAAAGGAGAATAATGGATATTCAGTAAAAGAAGCAGACTTAACTTTTACAGCAACTATCAGTACTGAAAGGAATTTGATAAATCTCCAATCTACAAATACCATAGTATTTTCCCCTGGAACACTTCCATATTGACAGGCTTCAAGCAAAGTAGCCATATAATTGGGGGTTATCGTGTGGTAGATGATACGTGGTGAGGTGGCAAGGATGTGGGAACAAACTGAACTCCAGTAGGAATTGTCTTCCCTCTGGAATCCATAAAAATGTTCAAAAGAACTAAGGAAATTACATAAAGCTGACTTTCAGTAAGTGGTGGGCTTGGGGGGAGTGTAAGCCTAGATCGATATCTGACTAGTAGCATGAGTTATAAATGAGAAGCCTTTGCATACTGTAAGAAAGAGTTTTCTGCATGAGTTCAGAAATGAACTCGCCACATGCACTCCCAAGGTTGATCAGTCAAAAACTAGGTAGTGAAACAACTGAGGATTCAGTCATTCAGTTTACAAAGTTGGGGTCAAATACCTCTCAAAATGCAGTATTTTAAAGTACTGACAGTAGTAATGTGGGATTTTTAATGAGTTGCAAGCATGTTCAGGAAGTGAACTTCAATCCTTTCTCTTGACTAACTTTTTTTTGGCATTGCTTGTTTGGTTTGGCTTCTTAGAAGTGGAAAGGAAGGAATGGCTGGCTGGTAAATGAGGGTAGAGCAGTGGATGTTGTCTACTTTGACTTCA